ATATTATTACTATGATTTTGTCTTTCCAAATCCATATATATAATATTTCTCTCTCATTTTTCTACCCTCTCTCCAAAACGTGGGATCTGATTAGTGTATTGGGATGGAAAGCTTCTATTTCTTCTGAATTTTATTTTTAGTATTTCCCACAAATTCACAATTTCACTTTGTTGTGCAAAAAGGCTAGTTTCTTGTTATTCTTGATTGAAATTCATAAAAAAATATGGCCAGAGCGAACCGAGTGACCCCTAATATTAAGCGATGAAAAAGATTAGTTTCAACTTTTTAGTATCCGTAAAGAAGGATCATTTTGCTTAAAGAATATCTAAACCTCATCGATGGTTTGGCTTCGTGTCCATGTTATGGCAAACGAGTATGAACTCGATATGATTAAAGAAGAAAGTTCAAAAATAAAATCATCTCTGTCTTCTTTAACCGTGTATATGGAACATTTCCATATCCCAAAATTCATAGTTATTTTGTTTTGACTTTTTATTTACATGTGAATTGTGAATGGACACATCAACATATGAACACTATAAAATCTTAAGCCTTTTTTCATCTATAGTCCCTATAATTTTACATGGAAGCACGCTACGAGGGACAAGTATTACCCACATCTCCCTTTTTACTCAATAAAATGTAGATTTTTAGCCTTCATATTATAATAGTTCTACAAGTATAAAGCAATGCTTTACTTTGTTGGTTTCTTTAACCCTATTTGTTTCATTAAAAAAACTAAAGATGGGCCAAAATAATTATCCCACAAAATGAATTTAGTTATGTGAATGAAGGTTTAGCAATGATTAACCGATCACATTTGGTATCAATGCATTCATCAACAAGGTAAATAGATAAAATATATGTTCGAATCAGATCATACTGAACAATACAATAAACACAAATTTAGAATATTTTTCTTTTTAATCAAATTGTTTAACAAACATTTAAAATGAGTGCTTATAGGATGAATTAATAATATTTTTGTTGCCCTTTTCAAATACTAATGTTAACTCACACTTTCTATTAATAGAAAATTGTTGAAATGCACAATTTTTTGATATAATTATTATATCTAGAACCAATTGTGCCACAACATCAGTTTAAGTGGCGCTAAATGATAGGCTCAATGAAAAGTTAAATTAAGTTATTCATTTAATTATATTTCTCATTTATTGCCATATTTAATGTCATCAAAACAGTTGTTTCAAAAATAGTGGCGCTATATATAGTATTGATCTTTTAGATATGCTATTTTTCTCAATCTAATCAAATGGTATTGAAAGAGGTGGGATTTTTATACTCTTATGAGTAATGATTTTAACCACACACTAGCAAATCTAAGATGTGTATGTTATTATTGCAATTAAATGAAGTATTACTTACTAAATAGCCAAAATGAGTAGAACATGTTCTTTGTAGAGTCTTTTAAGAGGTGAATAAATGATTATTAAGCATAAAATTTTAGATGTAAAGAAATTAATCGTCACTAGCTTAAGATTCAAATATGTGATTTAAAAATATATTATGACGACAGTTATTACTTTGTAGTTTGGGATNTCAACCTTATTGAGAAAAGTAGTTCAACCCCTTATATGTTGGTTTATTTTTCGATATTTAACTGATGTGCAATTTATCTCTTAACAGTTATGCCTCTAAATTAAGTGTGGACATTTAAGCTGGGTGATGGGCTTTTTCATATGTTGAATGTTGGCCTTTCTTGGTGGATTGGATGTGGGCTTGAAATGAATAAAAAGAAGGGAAAATATATTGACCTTTAAATATACATTTTCAAACTTGAAAAATTTGAGAATCTCTCTCAAAAATCTGGTGTTATTAATTAAATAGGTTAATGTCACGATATTATATAATTTATGATCACAAGAATGCACTAGTCACAAATCACATTACGTCACAACCATAAAAACACAAAATTTGGTATACAATTGCAAATTTAGAGCATGTTTGGCTAAGATTAAAATTCAATTAAAATTGAAAATATAGTCGTTATTGGGTCTCACTCGTCTAATAAAAGTCAACAATAACGACTAATTTTTCAATTTTAATCCTATTTTAATCTCTATCGAACACGCCCTAAGTCTCAAAATTCTTCACGAGAATTATCACACTATGTTTAAAAGTGAAGTTAGAATTAAATTTTTTGAAAAAAAAAAAAAAAATCTTGAAAACATAATGTTGAAAAACATTTTTAACTAACAACTTTAACTCGTACGAAATTATACCAACTCTTTAGGTGACTGAAGAGCCATCACGTGCTAGTTAAAGATTGACATTGTTGCTGGGAACAAAATTACCGGAGAAGGATTCTCCAGATTCTCAAACCACACGCACCATCTACACGTGAGAAAAAGCAAAAATCTTTTATGGGTAAAGTAGAGAGCGTGGTTTACACAGGAGACAAGGTAAAACAAGGTAAAGTGAATTACTAGAAAACAAGGTAAAACCCAGAGAGCCGTACGAAGTGAATTTATAAATGGCGGCGAATCCTAGGTTGCCCGCCACGTTAAATCTAGCTGTAAAAGTTATTTTTATAAGATTAAAATTCATCTTGCTGTAAAATTTTCGTTTTCTCCGGTTAATTAAGGTGGTTTAACAGTCTTTAAAGGCGAGTAACATTTTTTTGAGGTCGAGTTGATATTAACCTTAATCATGAACTTTGAAAACATGGGATAATCTGCTGCACAAATTGGATAAAAATCAATTACTCTACTACGAATAAGTCCACTGTTATTGAAATTTTTAGTAGACCATAATGAAGAATTAGTATAGTACAATTGCGGTAAACAGCTAATTAAAAGTTGATTAAGGTAATGTTACAAAAACTAAATGGACGGATTAACCTTTTACTAAAAAAAATATGGTCAAAGAAGCATTGGTTGCAAATTGCTTTAATAATTTGACCAAATTAATTTAACCTGACCTCACGTACTCCAAGATCAAAAATCATGCACTGAGTCAGCACGAGTTGAAGCTTACTCATTGGACCAACAGTCCAAAACGGGTCCATCAGGCACGTGTCAACGACCCTCAAACGCCGGATGCCGCGAGCCGGTCAATAACCGGAATCTTTAGCCCCATTTCATCGCCGGCGAGATGCCCCTCTATTAATACTGAGATATTTTGGAATCTAATTCATGATTTGTTCTCTCATTTTTTCAAAGTATGAAAAGGAGAAAATAATAAAATAATAAATGGTCTGCATATATTTTGGGTATACCAATTTCGGCGATCCTATAAGACAGCGATTTTTGTGCTGTAGCCTCCATAACTACACACACACTACTTTCTTTCTCTATCAAGCACCATTTTTCTCTCCTCACTAAAAACATTTCATAGAAATTTCGATGCTTCTAATGTAAACAGGATTAAGGATTCAACACAGTATCTAAGGTTTTTGATTCTTAATTTGCCTTCCCTTTTGCTATCGATACACTTCCATCTTTAAACCCATAAGCCCCTTTAAAAGTAACCCTTTGAGTCCCAACTTTTAACGTTGTTGTTGGATCTTTTTGTCAGATTTTTGTTTATTAGAGCGTGGCTTTGATTCTTTCTGTGTTTGAAGCTTCACTTTGACGGTTTGCCATCTTTTAATCTCAGTCACTCACTCGTGTCTTCTCCCAAAGCAATCTTCCTTTGTTTTCACGTTCATCTCTTCAATCGATACTCACTTTTTTCTCTTCGTGTTTGTTGAAGGAAAAGTGTTCCAAAAACAAGTGAGTGAAGATTTGAAATTTATAGCTATGGACCAAAGTATATTATGTCCGGTTAAGTACACCGAGCACCCAAAAATCATTCGAAAAGTTGTTAAAGCCTCAAACCAAAAGCCCAGAAAATCCTCAAAATCCCAACAAAAAATGGGTTTCAATTTTCCCAGAACTGTTCGGATTTCTGTAACTGATCCCGATGCAACTGATTCATCTAGTGACGATGAGGACGAGCTCTTTCGGAGGCAACGAATGAAGAAGTACATCAACGAAATCAGAATCGAAACTGCTGCCAAAACCACTGTCAATGCCGTTAATGGAAACGAAAGGTGTAAGAAGAGAAATGACGGTGTTCTACAGGCGAAGCCGAAGCCGATGAAGGCGAAAGAGGTGGCTCAGCCCGCGGCAAATGGTGGAGTTCGAAAATTCAGGGGTGTTCGGCAGAGGCCGTGGGGTAAATGGGCGGCAGAGATCAGAGACCCCAGCCGGAGAGTCAGACTCTGGTTGGGTACTTACGACACCGCGGAGGAGGCTGCTATGGTTTATGACAACGCTGCTATAAAACTCCGGGGGCCGGATGCTCTAACGAACTTTGTAAATCCTCCGACCAAGGATAAGCCGGAGATGAACGATGCTTCAGTTTCCGGCTACGAGTCTGGCGATGAGTCTCGAAATCTTTTATCTCCGACGTCTGTTCTCCGGTACAGGACTAGCCAGTCGAGTGAAAATGACACCGATCAACAATCAGCGTCCGAACTGGTTCAGGAAGTGGGCAAAGATGCTGAACCGAGTGCTTCGGTCGGCATACCGGACCAGAACCAAACGGTTAATGGAACTGATTCAAGTCAAGGTCCGGTTCAGGAGGTTCAAGAGTGTCAAGGGGAGACAAGTATGGTTCCCGACTACACCAACGACTATTTACCCATGGATATTCCGTTCCTAGACGACTTCTTTAATTTCCAACCTCAAGAACAAACATTATTGAACTATGCTCAAAATTTGGCTGAGGATTTCAACATGGCATTTGATGACATTCCAGCATTCATGGATATTTCACAAGACTCTGAAAATTTTAATTATAATGATTCGTTTCAGGATCTCAATTCAATAGAAGTCGATGACTATTTCGTTGACATTGGCGACTTTGCTAGTGCAGAAGCACTTCTATCAATATGATACAACAAAAATCCAGAGTTAAAAATCACCGGTTTGCCAATCTTGAAGGCAAATTTTGTCCACCGGCTTGACTAGTATTTCCCATTAAATATTTTTAGTATATTCAGCGCCTAAATATTTTTTAGTTCATGTATCTCCCTTCCATTAAAGTAAATGGAATTTTAGCGCAGTTCTCTATTTAGTTTATATATAGCCTTTCTAGTAACAAAATAAATTTGCATTTTCAAGATTATATGTATTTGAGTTTATTTTATTTAATTTATGTAGTATTTTAGATTGGATCTTGTAGTTGCAAAGTGGCATTCTTTCTGTCCCACACGAGTAGGCGCAATTTGCGGTTGTCGTGTTGACTGAGTCGATGACTCAGTGTTGGTAGTGTGAAATTAAGTTAAAGAAATGTCTTCAATTTTTCTTCTTAAATATTTGTGGTACACAATGGGCATTGAACCTTTTAAATGATGGATGTTGTGCCCAAAGTAATGTGTGAAGGACAATAATTCAACGTTTGGAAACAATTATGAACTGTGGTATTTATTAAATACTATTTAAGGTTGAAAAGCGTGAGAGAACGGCTCCTATTAATTTACATGGGCAAACAACATTGTTTCATTTGTTGTGTTCATTAATTGTGAAGATGGACTATACAATGATACAAGAGGGGCAATTTCCTGCATCAAAAGCCTAGCGGCATATGAGAAGTGGCAAGGTCGTGGGCAAGTGCGTGGGGTTGGGGGTGGTGATAGAAGACGATTTTTGATTGAGTAAACGAAAATATCTGGCATATTTATTTGTTATTATGTTCAATTTAATGGTGAGATATTATAACGCGGCTCGTGTCATCCAAGCTGTTAATTGCAAACCAAAATTTACCTAGGTGGCAACTGAAACGTGATCTGCCTTGGGTTGGTTGGAGTTGGGTGACACAGAAGATGAGAGGAATAACATGTGAAATATTTGTATATTACTCTTTTTAATCCAACATAGAGATATATATCTTGTGTTGTCCAACTTGTATTCGATTTAGGCCCGACCTTACCAAGTGTCTATCGAAGCTTGGTTTGCATTCGGTTGGTGGGAGCAGGGTGACAGCTAAGATTTTTGGCATAATGAGTGAGAAAACATGTGATATATTTATCAGTTGTTATGTTTGATTCAATATAAAGATATAATGCAATTTGTGTCGTCCAACTTGTATTTTGCACAACTTGGACTGGACTGGCAATCAAAACGTGATCTGCTTTGTGTTGATTGGAGCGTGGTTACCGAGAAGATTTTTGACAGAGTGGGTGGAAAAACATGTGAAATATTTGTCGTCTTCTGTTAAATTCGATGTAGAGATATAATATAGCTCGTGTTGTCCAACCTATATCCTACACAACCTAGACCAAACCTTACCAAGTGGCAATTGAAGCTTGAGTTGCATTGGGTTTTGCGGGAGTGAGTGACAGATAAGATTTTTGACAGAGTGAATGAAAAAACATGTGAGATATTTGTCTTTCTGTCTAATTTGATATAGACATATAAAATAGTTTGTGTTGTCCAACATGTCTTTTGCTCGACCTTACCGAATTGTCAGTTGCTTCTTTATTTGCTTTTAATTACTTTCGACAAAAGTAACATTTAAGGAAAGAAAAAAAAATTAAAAAAATTGGGCTAACCTTGATCGAACCGGCAATTTTTAGCCCAATTTTTTTAGGGCCATCAAATAAATTGGATTGTGATAGGTTATGATACGACCCATACTAACCTACGCAAGTGTGGGTCGTGCCACTCCAATGCTATACTACACATGCTTTTAGTGCAAGGTACAAGTACTTGATAAAATCACGTAACATTAAGTAATAGAAGTAAGATAAAATTTGTGAATAATACCATCTAGTATCTATATCCTTCTTGTACTCCTTACTACAAAATATCTATCCAGTGTTGTAACTGGCAAATTGCAAAAGGTTTCAGACATAATGATATCACGTAGTTTTAGCTTATAGAACTAAAGCCTGTACTGCATGTGAGTGGTCGGATTGGTGCTCTCAATCTATTATCGCAATTCATAATATATTTTAAAGTTTTCATTTAAGGACACAAGTTAGTAGCATAATGAACATCACTTAGCTATATAGATATGTTGGAGTGAAATGCAAGTTAGTCCACCACGTCCTTTTAATTAGGGTCCACTGAAAACTTTGACCATCCCATGTTTTTTTCCTTATTTCTATCAATTTCTTGTAATTCTCAAAAATAAGAATATAATCTATTTGTACTTGTCACATCTGGTTAGTGGAATTAAGAAAGTCGAGATCAAATAGACGAAAACTTGTGTACATAAAGAATTATGGGTAGATGGTCATGTTTTGTTGTGAGTGGATTGTGACTCATAGGTTGTCAAGAACTTAAAAAGGCCTCAAGAAATGCTAATCGGCTTGTGGAATTTTTCATACCAAGGAGTGTGGAAAGGGATGTTTCTTGGTGACTTGGAAACGTGATCCCATGAAGACAACTTTTATTCCACATGGTCAAAATTGCCAGAGGAATGCTTTGAAACGCAATTCTCACAAGAAAATTTTGGACCAGACAGATTGATATGTCGTCAAGAACACAAAATTTGCTTTTGCAAAGGTTAAGTTGCTACTCCAACAAAAGACAATTCAGCTTTAACTGAAAATGACCCACCTTTACTTATTCATTTTTCTTAATGCTTCAAAATTTGGAATTCTCAAATGTTTTTCTTTTTGTTTTTTTGTTATATGATTTATAAAGGTGATGTCTCTCCGTACGAACAATAAAATGAATTGTCTTAAATAATAATTGATCATGTCGAGTGTGTTTCTATAATTGTCACGTGAATTTTTTGAACCCTCTATTTAAGTAAAATTAAAAAATTAAGTACCCTTTACACAATTCGCATTATAATAGTGCACAATAAATACTTAATTAGAAAAAAAAAAAAACTGTCACAATCCTTGTTACTAAATCTTGATATCTAACCATGAATGAAAACAAACCGTGGGATTTTTAAAGTAAATTGCAATAATTGAATCCAGAAGCAGCTTATCAGACTTCTCATAAATGTAAATTTTTTAGTCCCCCTACTGCAGTACAGTGATAACATAGCACTCCATCTGTCAACTGCAGCCCAAGGAAAAGTCATATACGAAGGATGGGGGGAATCAAGTTCATCATGTCTCGAATTTCGAATCATTCAAATCACAATATCTTAAATATCGAGCAAGTCCATCCACTTACGCCGTTCCTCTCTCTTACCCACTCAGTATCAATAGTATCGTCATTTGAATTGACGATCTATCAAGTGTGCATGAAAAGTCATTTCAATTAAAGTATCTCTTGTGCATGAATGAATTCAGAACCAAACTACAAGTTAGGCTAATATGTGAAAAGAATAAAAAAATTACACAAAAAATTTCTTTCACAAAATTTTTTTTTACACTAAAAAAATGAAATGGACCGTGGACTGGACAGAACTACGACCCGATCTAGTCCAACCTACGTCCGCCCCAGCTCGTGTAAGTTATATTTCAGGCGACCGCATTTCACCTATGTTGTTTTTCTCTCTTATTACTCAGTATCTATAACGTCATGATTAAATTGACAATCTATCATGTGTATATTTAAAATCGTTCCAACTAATGTACTTATGGAATAAATTGTAACCCATCACCCATGCGAACTCCATCTGCATGCATATATAGAAAGTCATGGGGAGGGGGGTTAGAGCAGGGACCTTTGCACTGACTGCCCAATGCTTGATGGGGGCATTTGTTAGACACAAGGATGGTACATAATGATCATGTAATCATTGTTCTTAGTGTGTTAGTTTTCTTTACATTATCTATGCCTCTGACTCTGTCTCTGCTGTTAAGGCTAATTACTTCTGTTCTGTGCATTGATTTCTTCTTCACGCTAGATTTTACATTCCATTGAAGTAATATAAAATTTCGTTACATCCTTTTACTAAAATCATTCTACTTTTTATATATAATAAATGTTTATTAGTTATGAATGTGTGGTTAAAATTAATGTTTGACTGAATAGAAAAATAAATGCATAAGCAACTTTTTAACATAGCCGAATAGAGAATAAATACTCATTTAGCATGTTTTTTTGGCAACTCTCACCTCTTTGAATAGTTGTTATCCGACATAATTAGTGATTATAGTTGTTTTTGAGAAAATATGACATCCTCCGGTGTTATTATAAAACCTCTTTATCGACTCAATAGAGAGTTCAACAAAATGTTATTAGTTTCTTGGAACACTCTCGTTTTTCCAACAAAATACCCCTTTGGCGGTGCAATTTGTTATGGATTAAGCCTATATATGTTTCCCAAATTAAATTTCACATAGTTTGATCCAAAATGTACTCTCAATTTCATTATCGAAGTCAAAGATGAGCTTTCTTGAGACAATCTTATCAAAATAATATATTCGTTTTAATCTACTGATCGTGTAGCTTTAGATCGAATAATAAATCGAACATTTTCGTGCTTAACAACTTAAGCATTCAAATTATAATATTGAAACAATCCACAAGCAAACACAGCTCAAATTTAATGCAAACAATTTGTCGCAAATAAAAAAAAAAAATCAATTTATTTCAGAATATCACGAAAACAAATAAACTCAAAACATTTTATTTCAAAATATCATGAACACAAATAACATTACTCGATGTACAAAACCTATCCAACAAGGCCTACCATCTCTCCATGACCCATGGATCCTTTGTTGAGAAAAATCTAAAAATTACACTCTACACAGTACAGAAAATATCGAATACTTGACTTGCGGCTAACATGCATTTAAGAGGAAATTGATACAAAATGATCAGAGCCGACCTTTCTTTATATAGTCTGCAAACCTGCTAATGCTATTAACTTTGTTTTTCTCATCTTTGGTCCCCACACGTAACTCTCAATCTTACATTCTTACGTCTACATCTCCTAGATCTTGTTTCTCAGTAAACGATCTATGATGTGAATGCAT